GACTAAAGCTCAAATGATTCCTCTCTGGTCTAGTCGGTGATCGGGTGAAACGGCTTTCGGGGTCTGCAAACAACCCCCCCCAAAATAAAGAAGGAAGCACGAGAAAGCCAACTCACCTGGTCGAAGGAAGGACAACATCGCGACCAGCGGCCGGACGGCTTGTCGGCTGCGCTTCGACGGACGGCCAAAGTTGCACCGAGGAGGAAGTGCAAGTGGAAGGACGCCTTGAGTTTGGACATCGGCCCCGAGTCAAGGGGTGGGAGGCAAGGTGTTTCTCCCCCCGACCACCTTGCGGCCGGGAAGGAGGAGGGACCGGTCACGTGGTCTCCGGGTCACTCGAGACGGTCAATTGCCACTTTGCTCCACGGGGGGAGACCAACTGCTGGCCGGAGGTTGGGCATGTTTGCAGTCGGAATGACATTTTGCTGGACAACGAGAGCGCGCCCCCCCCCCCCAAACGTTGGCCCAAGTGAGTCACGAAGGGACGGCAGGTGGACGAAGAGCTTTTCGCGCGACCGCTGCCGCTGCTTCTTCCTCTTGTCCGACTTGAATGGCGTTCGGCAACCAGCGTTCCGGCACACGACCGCCCTCTGCTGGACTGGAGGTTTAGCAGTTCGGCAGTGGTGCGCGACCTTTATTTTTTGAGGGGGGGGGCGTGCCCACGAACCTCTTTGTCGTTCCGCAGTAGACGTTCCAGACGTTCTTTTCACGTTCAATGTAGGACGATATCCCCCCACCCAAAAAAAAAAAACGCTTTCCAATCTTCTTCCCATAATTGAAATATTTTCCCCCCCACATTTGACCCTGGCATGAAATCCTGTCGATTCCCCACCGCATTGGGACCAAGCCGTCCCGTCTTTCACTTTGCTCTTTTGTGCGTGTCGATCGATCCCGAAGCCGCCGCCGGTCCCAACGGCCGTTCCGAGCGACGATTGACCTTTGCGCGCGGGCATCCAAACGATGCAAGTCGAAGCGGAGACGGGGAGATGAGCGAGCGGATGGCCGCTTTGAATCCTTCTCGAACGGGACCGGACGCACGGATCGGCGGGCCCAAAGAGCGGCCCCGACTTTCTTGCGGGTGACCGAAAGAAGTTGGTGCGACGCGAGCGGATGCTTTGAAAGTGTTTATTTTGGCAAGCACCATCGGAAAACACAGCAAATAGGTGTCGGTGTTACGTGATCCGTCAAACGATATAGTCATGCAAAAAATGGACAGAATATGGATTTATTGCGGAGAGATGACGTCGCCTTGATTTCTAGCGGATGATTTTTCCTCTTCCCGTTTGTTTTCTTTCCGTCGCCGGTCGGGCCGGCATTGAGAAGGAAGCTTGTTCCCGTGAACATTTCGACATAGCGGCGGCGGCGGCGTCCGCAAAGGCCGGGCGCGTGACGCGCTTTCTTTCGGCGTACAAAATCAACGTTGGAGTAGAAAAGAGAAGCAGAAGAGGAGATGCCGATGAAAGGCGCCGCGCCGGCGAGGACCAAGCGAAAGAAATGTCTGTGCGCGTCCTGATGTGGGCGTGGCAAAAATGGGGCGGGAAGCCCGTTTCTGCCGACACCGCCCAGCCTCCTTTGGCCCCGAACGGCGCCCCCTTTGGCTGGCCCTCCTTCCTCGCCGTCCAGTCAATGGATTTGGTCCCGTCGCCGCGACTCTGTTCTGGAGAAGGCGCGTCCGGCCTCCTTTTGAGTCGTACCAAACCGGAGAACTCCCGCGCGACGGGGGGGGGGGGCGCCGCATTTCCCGCACCGTGGGCAGAGGGGAGGGCCGTCCGGGCCTCATACGGTGGTGACCCTCATCACCACCTCCCGGTTGGCGGCGGCGCCGAGGCGCGGGCGGCCGGGCCGCAGCCGGCCGAGGATGTGCAAGACGGTGTAGCCGCAGCGGCGGTTCAGAATAGTCCTCAGCCTCCTGCCGCGGCGGCCGGC